GAACTGTCACGTCTGGCTCAAGTAGTGTTTTAGGTAGCCATTAAATATATACTGAATTTTTTATTTTTAATAAGTATCTAATGTTTGAAGCCTGTTAAATTAATGAGAAATACTAGTTCAGTATTTACCACCAGAACACATCTATAAATGGTACATTTTAAATTCTAGTGGGAAAAGATAGGGAATTGGGAGTTCATTCCAGATTCTGTGTACTGTTAGATTTACTATCTACCAGTTGGGTATTTGGAATGAAATGACTAATTCCCCCATCACCACCCCACTAATCAGTGTCGAATCTGACAATTGGTGATATATTTCACTATTTGGACATTAAACTGTTATTTTGTATTTGACATGTTTTCTATTAATCAAATCGTTTTCTATACTTCTAGGTTAGTTATTTTCTAACTTAGAATTGTCTCTGCTAATAGTTGACATCTACTAAGTTTTTATGTGATCAGCAGTATGTTAAAAATTTTACTTCTGAGCCAGGTGTGGTGGCACATGCCTTTAAACCCAGCATTCAGGAATTAGAGGAAGGTGGGTCTCTGAATTCAGGGCCAGCCTGGTCTACATAGTTCTAAGACAGCCAGGGCTGTCTTAGAGAACTTTTCTCGAGAGAAAGAAAGAAGGAAAGAGAAAGAAAGGGAAAGGAAAGAAGGAATTTTACTTCTGTCACCTCCTATATTTTCATAATATAATGAGGAGAATGTTATCATTTTTATTTTCTGTTGTAGAAATCAAGACTCTAAGACATATATAAAAACAAGTAGATTGTTGAGTCATATCTGTTTATATGGGCTAGGATGGGTGGATGGATGGATGGATAATAGATGATAGATAGATTAATTGATTGATTGATAGATAATTAGATAGAGTTAATACTCTGCTATTGCAATATTGAATTAATAATAATAGCAACAACAGCCTAATATCACACTTCGTTGTACCAAACATTGCTTTAAATCCTTTTGTTAATTTCCTTAATCCTCACTGTATCCTCATGGAGTAGGAATATTTATCATCCTCATGGAGTAGGTATACTTACCATCCTTGTGGAGTTGGTATACTTACCATCCTTGTGGAGTTGGTATACTTATCTTCATTCTCCAGATGATAAAACTGAAGCAAAAGAAAGTTATGAAACTTGTCTAAGACTACACACAGCTAACAAGCATTAGGAATATGACTGAGCAGCCCAGCTCTGCCATGTATGGTTGTGAATACTGTGTTCTTCCTCATCTGACAGTAAAGACAATATATATATATATATATAATAAGTATTAAAGAAAGATGTGTGTGTTATGTAACGAGTATGGCTTTGAAATAGTTTTTGGAATGTGTTTGCTGTTCCTTTTTAAAGCAATTAAACAAGGTAGAGGAAATCTAAATGCTTATAAATATCCTTTTAGTGATATAAAAACAACTCATTAATTTGTAGGTCCTTGAAGCATTTTTTCTTAGAAATTTTTAGCTTATAATATGCATTTTATCACACACAGTGAATTGCATCCATTTAAAAAATCATTTTATTATTGTATGTTATATGCATGTGTGTTTTATCTGCATGTATGTCTGCACACCGTGGGTGTGCCTGGTGCCCATCCATGGAGGCCAAGGGAGGCGAGAATTCTCTGGAACTGGAGTTACAGATGGTTGTGAATTTCCATATTGATGCTGAGAATCAAATCCAGCCTCTGTAAGAACAGCCAGTACTCTTAACCTCTGAGACATTTCTTCAGCCCCCAAATTACATCCATTCTTAGCTAGGGATCAGCATTCTCAGAAAACCCCATCTTAATAAGTTGTATGTAGTCATGCAAAGCGGCATAAACCTAAGAAGAGTGGAATGAGGAGAGTTAGAAATACATTCTAATCCTTGACTGTAAACTCACCCTGGTCCTTCATTTGAAGAAGTCAAATTCTGTATTGGATAGTGTTCCTACCAGAGATACAATTTATGTGCAGCTATATGGAAATCATTAAACTCAGGAATCTGAAGTTTGAGTACCTAATGAAAGAGTCTGTTCCATTTATACAGTGATTGGCCAGTTTTAGCCAAGGCTGATGAGTTCATTAAGAGTTAGAGGGAGAAGTGTCAATCAGCTATACTCAATTTATGAGTGTATGAATATTGCCCCATTTTATGACTGTTTGAATAATTTTGTAATAGATGACTCTAGGAAAGAAATTGTGACTGTCGTTGATTGCCTGGAGGCTTCTTGCTGGGCAGGGGTTGGCAGGCTGTTGTGCAAATGTTAATGAAATGTTTCTGCACTGTTCTCTCTTGTCCTTGCTTTTGTTTACTATATTCTTATAGTGATAATATATGAATGTATTTAACTGTCTTTCTCATTTTCTTCAAAAAGAATGTTGTGTTGTTGTTTTTGGTAGGGGTGGGGTTGAGGGTTGTCCATGAAGCCCAGAAGAGGGTGTTGGATCCCCTGAGCTGGAGTTAACAGGAAGCTATGAGTGACCCAACATGGGTTCTGGGAATTGAACTCAGGTCCTCTAGTAGAGCAATACACTTGCTCTTAAATTACCCCCTCCCCTTTTTTCCCCCAGGACAGGGTCTCACTATGTAGCCTTGGCTGGTCTGGAACTTGCAATGTAGTCAGATCTTGAACTCAGATCTGAGTACCTCTGCCTCCCTGGTATGGGTTTATTGATGTGTGCCACCATACCCTCGATTCCTTCCTTACCTTAGAGGAAAAATAAATAGCAAAATGTTTTATAACATGTTTGGAAAGAACCAGTTCTAGCTCTTCCTGTGTCCTTGGATCATCCCAGGCTTTAGCCCCAGTTACAGCAACCTTAAAACAGTAGTGTCTTTGTTATCAGTGGATTGAAAATCTCAATGGTGTAACTAAAGGAAAAAGGAAAACTGTGTGGACAAATGACTAGCAACTCTAAATTTACTCAAGTGGTAAAGGACTGGACAGATACCAAAGTCTCATTCTTGATAGTTTTTTCCAAGGTAAAGTTTTGTGCTTTTACTAGATTGCTGTTTTGTAAAATGCCTCCTCCAAGACCCTAGGTACAATGCTGAGGTGTTGACATTGGTGTAGGTCTGCTTTGGTGGTGCACACCTTTAATCCTGGCACTTGGGAGGCAGAGGCAGGCAGATCTCTGTGAGGTCAGCTCCAGCCTATACAAAGTGAATTCTCAGCAAACCAAGGCTACATGGTGAGACACTGATGAGAGAGAGAGAGAGAGAGAGAGAGAGAGAGAGAGAGAGAGAGAGAGAG